TGTGGCTTCTTTAAGAGGAACTGCTTGGGGCTCCAAAAGTGTCTTCCACTGACTCAGTCCCCATTGATTTTTGCAAGCAGAAGTTGTGGGGACTTATCTTCCTGGCAGTGGAACCCTGGACTGGTAGGCCTGGTGTAGGGCTGGAACTCCTCGTTCTTGAAATATCCCTCCCGAATTTTTATCCACTGCATGTAGGTATGGGACCAGCCTGTTCTGCATCTGCATCCCTACTACCAGACTTGGATGGATGTGGTTTCTTTAATTCCGTAGTTGTCAGTCTTCCACTCAACTTGATATCTGATGGATCTGAGTGATGGTTGTTCTTTATTTTAGTTGTAATTTAGATGTGGCTGTGTGAAGAGTTTAGCCATGTCTGCATATACCACCATCTTGACTGGAAGTCTCCAATCCCTTTATTTAACCTTGCAAAACATGTGTGACAGGTAATTGCTGTTTTTCCTCTCAAAAAAGCCATTTTCCTTTTCCTAACCAAACCTCAGTCTTATTCAGGTGACTGAACTAGTTGGCTACTTGCTTAATGGATGACTGTCAAGAAGGTGAATGTTGGCTAATCCAAATCATTCATGGCGATTCTGTTTCCCTTGCCAGGGATTGTTTTAGTCATGGTCATGTAGTGCAACCAGGACAGTAAGACAAAAATTGTACTCCACTGGGGTGCTTCTGTAAAGTTTTTCTAACTGTTCAAAAAAAAAGAAAAGGCACAAGATTATTGTCTTCTACTTCTGGATGTTGCAAATGTGATGTAGAATTTGAGGCCAGATCAGTCATTTTGTAATCATGATGGGAAAAACAAGAGAATCATACAAAAATCTTTGGAAATGTTGAACGTTCGAATTAATCACTGTTGGAATAACCTGTTCTCAATTTCTGTTATGAGAGATAAAGAATTAATTATGTTTGTTATAACACCTTTATTTACCAATACAATTTGATTACTGTGACCCTCTCTATAAGATTCTTTGGAATAAGGTACGATAGAGGAAAGCAAAGTGGATTTCCCTTTTCCTCAAAGAAAAGCTCCAAATGAGGTCTTCTGCAATTCAGAAGTTCTGAATTACAAAATAAGAAGCTGGCTAGGAATGGAGTTATTTTTCATAAGGTTTGAGACTTTAACAAGGTCTCTACAAAAGACAGGGTTTTCTAATATTCCTTAAAAACAGAGCTAATGAAAAACCTATATACTCTGCTAAGTGAAAGGAAGCTACTTTATATCCTGGAAGCACTGGGCCCTATCTTTTTTTTCACCCACACCCAGGGGAAGAGTTGCTGCAACCTACCTTCCCCTACCCCCAGTGCCCTTTCAAGGAGGAATTTCAGGGGTTCTATGAGTTAGTCAACAAATGTACTTTTAAATAGCTGGTTACTTTCCTATGTAAGAATAAGAGATCACTCAAAGGTGGCTTGAATACACAAAGTAAACTCACTGTTAACCTCAAATGCTAAAATTTTCCCTCCCTATATCACCAATTTTCTAAACCAATTTTCTTTCTCCATCTTTCATGAGGGCTGGGTTATCTAAGTACAGTGCTTGTCTTTATTCAATATTTAAGTACCTCTTTGAAGAAGCCTTATTTAAATGAGGCTTGTATTTAGTGTGTATGTATATACACACCACTCTTGAAAAGCCATTGGTAGTCTACTCTCTTGGAATTTCATATAACCTTTTACAATTTCCAACAAGCATTTGAATTTTTCATCTTTGTAGTGCTCTCTTAAATTATTAGTTCATATAAAACAGCTTCCTGAAGATTCTTCAATATAATTTCTATTTTATTCACTACACTTTCTACTGCTGCTGTTACAAATCACCACAGGCCTAGTGGTTTAAAACAACACAAATTTATTATTGTATAGTTCTGGAGGTCAGGTGTCCTAAGAATCAATGTGACAGCAGGGCTGTGTTCCTTCTGGAGCCTTTAGGGTAGAATGCTTCCTCACCTTTTCTAGCTTCTAGAGGTCACTTGCATTCTTTAGCTCATGGCCTGGTCCTCCGTCTTCAAGGTCAGCAACACCGCATCTTTCAATTTCTTTCTGATCTTCTGCATCCCTCTTATAATACTTTGTGATTGCATTGGGCTTCCCAGGGTAATCTCATCCCATGACCCTTACTTTAATAACATCTGAAAATCTTTTGCCTTATAAGGTAACATATTCACACATTCCTGGGATCAGAACCTGGATATTTTAGGTGCATACCGAATCTTTATTCAGAATAGGGTATCTTTACTCAGCCTACCATACTACTTCTATTACTACTACTATTGCCAGGCACTATGCTGCTTTACATTCTTTATCTCAATTAGCCCATAAGCCACATACTAAGATTGTGCAACTTTCTCAGACAGGCTTGTGACTAAGCCATTGCTGATAATGAAAGTAATTCATCACAAAATCAAGTAACAATGATACAAAATTTGCACTCCCACTCCAATCTAGCACTGACTTGTATATGCCTACAAGTTAATGATAAGATCACAAACTTAAAAATGGAGTCATATGGGTAGAAATTTGCATTTAGAGGAAATTCAGCTATATTTGAATGGCTGGAACTAAAGCTTGTAGTTATCTGGTTCAGTTAGCTTAGATCATTGAGAGCAATGCTAATTAGATTTACGGTAGCTACTCCTAAATGAAACAGTTCATTGCACTCAGCTTAAGAAACTGTCTTAAATCCTTGACCAAGATGCTATGAAATGTAAACCTTCAACTAGGACCTTTGCAAGAGAAGCGTGTCAATGCCCAAAATCCATCACTGCTGCTCAAATCAAATTTGTAAACTGATAGTTGCACAAGAATTTGCTAGCATTGAAGAGTCCTACAATACCATGTAGTTGAGGAGCATGTTTAATGTACTCTTGCCACTCAAATCTGTTAGATGCAGTCCTTAATGTACTGTGACACTTTGAAGTGCAGCTCATGTATCTAAACATAGGGCCCAAATGACAATTTGGCACCTAAGGCTTCCTACGTATTAGGAGGATTAGGAGGCTCTTGAACACTGGGTTGAGCCTCTTAGCTGCCTGATTTAAGACTATTTTAAGATTGAATATAGTTACAAAAACCTAAAGTCCAGTCATTTCTAGATCGCTGGCTATAAACTCTAGCAACATGTGGGAGTTATTGTTAGACCATTAATCCATTTAAGCTCCAAATGTCTGTAGATTATATCCTACACATCAAATGTTGATATGGTTGTGGTAATACAAATTTGCTTAAAATACCACTTAATTCATTCAACTGTTAGTCATTTTGCATTTTATTAGTCATTTGGCACCTAGATACATTGAAGTCCACGAAATTCTGACATCTCCTAAGTGGTTGGACCCCTCTGCTCTAGCTTGGAGAATTTTGCAGTGTTCATGAAGCGCTCCTTACACACACTTCCATTCACGTAAGATGAAGGCTTTAAAAGAGCCGTCACCTGACAGTTCTATTTAAGAGTGATTCTCCCAAAAGATGCTGAGGAGTTGAGCAATAAATTAAAATAATGCTGATGAAAACTTTCACAAGCATCTCCCCCCCCCACACAATGATATCCTAAGAGTAAGTTTAACAAGCTAAAGAAGGTAAAAAATTTCATTTCCTTTCTTTAACTTGCCTGCAAGTAGTACCTAAGTGAATAAATTAGATGGGTCTGAACACTATCTTTTCTAAGGAAAAGGTCTGTCTGGCTTTTAATTTGTAAACAAACACTATCAGTTTTATAGCACTTAACAAGAAATGTTTGCACTTGTAGGGTCGCAGAGTTGGAACACTTATCATTCACAGTCTTTCAAAAAACAAAAAACCTATTTCAAAATTGAGAAACTACATGAAAGATTAAGTGATTTGTGAAATATAGAAGAGCAAGTTCCAAAAAGAAAATAATTACGTAAGAGTAACACATAAGTGATGTGGATTGTTAGAAAAGTGCCATACACAATTTTCTGAACAGATTTTGACTATCTGATCCCAATTAAGAAAAACCAGAAACATTTTGTGGTCATCTCATCATTCTTAAATAAAGGAAAAAAACCCTTTTGATTTAAACTGACAGTTTGGGTGTTGACTATATTCCTTTTTAGTCATTTGCAGACCACGCATAATAAAAATTCTTCTTTAAATATTAGTATTTCAGACCTTAATGATTATTTTTACATCTAAATAATAATTTACTAAAATAAACAGCTTTCTAGCAAAGAGCAGTTTTAGAACTTATAATCACAAAGGATCCAAAATTTATAAATTTTGCAAAAGTTAAAAAGAAAAACCCTGTATATACATACGATTGTATGACACTGAAATATCTTGAGGAGTTTGCAGGCTTTCTCTAGAAATCTTAATATGTTTAATTAAGTTCTAACCTTCTGAAATGGTGTAAATTACAGCAGTGCCAGGAGGGACAAAGATTTACTGAATGCCTTTCAGTATGTTTTAAATCCATGGAACCATTACAAAATTGAGACCAACTTCATAGTTCTTGTTTAGTTAAAACAACATACATTTCTATATAGTAATTTCAAAATTATTTCACTGGAGGTTAAGTACTGTCGGAGGCTCACATTTACTAATCAGATGTCTAAGTTGGCTGACAGCTAGGGTGTTTGAGAGCTAAGATTTCTCTAAATCCTTTTTATATTTCCTTCAGCACTGGTTGAAAGGGACAATCTGTTCATATTTTGCACTATAGCTGTTTGCTGATATATGTCCTTTTAACCCAAATACTTCCCTGCAAAATAAAATATTCACTCTTCTCTGGTGACTTAATAGTCAACTGCTAGATAATATACTTTCTGCTTATTCCCAGACCACAAATGTTTTAAGCAGCAGGTTCTCTTTAGTTCATTTCATTCAGTCCTTCAACCAACCAACCAACCAACCAACCAACCAACCAACCAGCATTTACAGATCATATACAATGTGTTGAATTCAATTATCTTAAATGGAACCCCCCCCAAAAAAAGTTTTAAAGAATTACCAAAACTTTTTATTTTTGCTTAGTTTTATTAAAAAAATAAATATATCATAAAGCTTTTTTTTTTCCTTTATGGAGAAAAAAAAGGAACAAGTTTTGTAAAATCAAATAAGCTATGGTAAGGTGTCTTAACTTGAAAAAGATTGGGAATCACAGGTTTACAAGTTATAATTGAAAGAAACAACTGTAACAGCCACAGTTGGCCACTTCATGCCAATGGCAGCAAACAAGATCAGCTAGGGCAAAATAAATAACTGTGTGGAAGCCCTGAAGTGTTTAAACAGACTGATTCACCAAGACATCAGGATAGATATATCTTGCTTTAAACAACACAGAAGTTCCTGACAAGTTCTGTGTAAATGAAAGAACCACAAACATACTGGGAAAGCTTGGTATCTGAAGGAATTCTGTGAATCCTTTTGTGAACAGCCACTTTCACTTCTGGAAATCCAGGTGTTTGCTCTGCTTAAGGCAAAGTATACCTAGCTGCTACCTCTCTGAACCAAGGTGTCAGCATATTTACCTAACACTGCTCCAGCTGGGCCAGTAGCACGATTTCCAAGTTTGTGTTTCTATAAAGTAGTGTAAAATACAGAGCCAGCCAGGGAATCCAGCTGCATCTGGCAAAGCAGGCATAGGGGCAGGAATTACCACCTTTGACAATATTTCCAAGTCAGCAAATACTTTTGAGAGTCTACTTTGTGCAAAGCACAGTAATAAGCCCTGTCAATTTGGTTATAGATGTTACTTCCTTTCTGTAAAACCTTCAGTCAGGGCCCAGGGCTGGAACCCTAAACATAAAGTAATACCTCTAATCTTCAAGGTTGGCTTTAACCAAATTAGCAGCCCAACTTCCTCAAACTGAGTGGATGATAATGGAAGAGACTGAGTTTTCCAAGGCTGAAGTTTAACATGAGAATCATCTATAACTAAATTACTGAAAAATTCTGATGACACAAAATTTTCAAATAGTTCTTTTTCCCCCTTAAACAGCTCTGAATTTTCAGGCAAACTCTACAAAAGTTAAAGTCATTGATAATCTTTGGTTGGGTGATACATTTCAGTCCTGCTGATAGAAACAGTTCTACTTTGGACAGGGAGTATGTATGATAGTACTAGTTCCAGTCAGTTTAATCATTGTAAATATCCTAAATCCTCACTTTGTTCACAGCTTCCATTTCATTTGGCCAAATCTCTACGAGGCTTAAGTCACATTTAATTAGTTACACTATTCTTTTTCTTTTGGAAAAAAAAATGCTTTTAATAACATTGCTGCCTATATGTACAAGTGTGAATGATCAGTATGCCATCTGTAGTCTTTCCCACACTGAGTACACTAACAATAATTAGTAAATAATTAAAGAATAAGTGGTCATTTAAAAACTTGTTTTTCTTTGAAAAAAATTTTACTTTCTAGAACTTAAAAAAAAAGGGGGTCTTAAAAGTGCCCTATTAATGTCCAAAGCTGTTTCCTACTCTGTCCCACCCATCTAAGACCTGCTACAAATGCTGGATTGAGTTCATATCAAATAATTTAGCAGTACCAAGAATTTTCAAATGGAAACAGTGTTACTGACTTCTTCATATTGGATAACAAAATAAGGGTAACTCTGGTCATCATTAAAAATGACAAAAATCTGAGGCTCAAAGAAATTATCCACACAAGAGTCATACAGGTCACTGGTGACACTGCCAGGATTGACAGGAGGAGGTCTTCTCATGCCATGACTACCCATCGTGTATCTGCCAGTTAGCACTTTGGCCAGAAACATGAAATGGACTCCTTTGGAGGACTTCTTAGAAAAGTTATGAGAGTAGCTTGCTTTCTTTGCAAAGTAACTGCCTTGTCCAAACATCGTAGCATGCTTTCCACAAACTCGAGGGTCAAAGTTGTGCTTGCAGATTCCATCTACTACATCCTGGGATGTTCCATGAAATAAATGTCTCTCATTTATTATTCTGTCACGGCCACACATTTTCCTGTTCATATATTCCTTTTTCCTAGTGCAAAGGGCAGATAGGGAATTCAGAAGAAAGAAGGATAGATCAATTTAATAGGCATGATATAGTCATAAACTTCTCTTTATAGTTTCAATGGGGATGAAATGTTAAATTAGCTATCAAGAGCAAAATGCCATCGAAGGTCATACTGAAAGTTTAAACTTATCTTTCCCACTGCAGACAAGAAACATACCCTTTTTTCTCTCTACAAACTACTTCTCACAGTTAACCCTCTCACAATGCCTTCCTTGCTAATTCCACTAACCTAAGTGTCTTTTGATTCTGAGATTCCTTAAACTTTAGTACAACATTAACTTGTTTGTTGATTTGAGAGGCAGCCTAATAAAGTAATTAAGAGCAAGACACCTGGTGCTAGACTGCCTTGGTTCAAATTCCAGCACTGTGTCTTATTAGCTGTATGTCCTGTAGCAAATTATCAAACTTTTCTGTGACTCAGTTTCCACTCTGTAAAATGTAGACTGCAGTAAACCCACTTATAGGTCTGTTATAAAAATTATATGTAAGTTAACATATAAAAAATACAACTATATTAAGTTCTATACTTGTCCTTAAACATAGGAAAAGCTATCTTAAACTTCTCATACTACTGACTCACCTTTTATATTTCTCCCAAAGAAATTGGTTTTGGACTCTCAATATTTGTAAAATTCTGTATTTAAACTCAGGCACAGTCTTATGAAAAAGATTGTAAATGATTCGATAACTTTTGTCCTCTGCAGAAACAGGCACTTGGATAAAGTCCTGAGATGGATGCATATAAACCCAAGTTTCAGGGTAAAAGTTTGCTGAGGTGACCCCATCTGGGCAGATGATTTGTGATGATGAGGTTGTTTCAAGAGGTGAAGGAGCCTGTGTGGGAACACCACCAAGTGTCCTATAAGGAAGAAGCAGAAATATCAGTGTAAAACTACTTAGAACATTTCACATTATAGTGCTCTACAGCAAGACCTAATATTATAATTTGTATAGCTTAAAAGTTTGTTAAAAAAACATTATTGTTAAAAAAAAAACACAATAGCTGGTTTGCGTCAGTGGATTGAGCACTGGCTTGCAAATCGAAGGGTTGCTGGTTAGATTCCCAGATGGGGGCACATGCCTGGGTTGTGGGCCAGGTCCCCCAGTTGGGAGGCATGTGAGAAGCGACCAATCGATGATGTTTCCCTCACACATTGATGTTTCTCTCCTCTCTTCCCCTCTCCTTAAAAATAAGTAAAATCCTAAAAATATATATATACATATATATATATAAAATATATAAATGCTATCTGTTAAAGAAAAATATCTTAGAGCAAAACCTGCCTGTACACAGATATTTGCTTCCTTCTGCCCCCTCCTTATGGAAAAAACTGTAAAATATGCTGCTGCAAGATAAGCAAACAAGCAAGCAGAACAAATTTATAAATATTTTTACATTTTTGAATACTGGACTCCTCTTTTGCCTACATAGTTAAAAGAAATTTTGTTTTAAGGGAGCAATGATAATTTATATGTGTTCTTCAAACTCTGCCTAAGTAGAAAACATATCATTATGGAAGGCTAAGGACAGTTGGGGAACATAATGTAGGGTAGAAAAAAGTGAGGCAGGCAGGAAGGAGGGAGCTTACAAGGAGAAGACACAAAACATTAATAAAAAAAGGCTTAAACAAATAAAAATCACAACATAGGCACTGAAAGCTGACATTTGATATTTGTTTCATTTTTCAATACCACATACAACAAAAAAATCACCAATACTATTCAAATTTCACAACTTTAGGTGTGATGGTGCTAATTAAGCTCTAGACACCAGAATGCATATCTTCGAACCTTTTAATTCAGGCCTGTTAGTTTGAAGGATGAGCTCAGTAAGCAGCAACTTTGCTTAGTTACTTATTCCTGCCTGATTAAATGCTTAAATTCAAATCACATTTCTTGACCATTTTCAAAACTGAGTGAAAGGGAAGAAGCAGAGAGAAAGGAAATCCTGACACTGAGACCCAGATTCAGGGTCAGGATACTGTAACACTCATCAGCATGTAGTGATCACAAGGAAGCAGTAAGTCTGCCAAATGGATTAGGAAAGTGAAATATTCAAGAGCTTCGTGACACAGAGGTTACAACTGTGGATGAATGTGCATCGTCTCCAAGAACGTATCTCACCATCACCCTCCTCATAATCATAGCCACCTCACCCTAAAAACACCCTATGGTCTAGACTTTTTACACTAAGTATCGCTAACTGTCATAACCACACTGCAAGATGGTTTGGCTCTGCCCACTTTTCAATATAAAAATCTAGCACAGCTAGCAAAGACCAGAGATAGAAGTACATCTTTCTGGAGAGAGGCCCCACTGTTTTAGTCAGATCCTGAAAAGTCTGTAACTCCTTAAAAACCATCACTACCCTGGAGGACGGCAGAAAATACAGAATATAAGCTCCTTATTTTCAGCTGTCCCCTCTATCCCTGCTCTGCAAAGAGGGTAAATCTGAACTCACAAGATTTTCCAGTATTATCAGGGGTTGAAGCTTCCAAGAGAGGTTTCTCGGTTGAGGGAGGAAGGTTAAGATTCTCCCGAAGCATTCTGCCCAAAGCAGGTTTTAGGCTGTCGAAACTGTACTGAAAACCTGGCACTAACAATAGAAGAGACTGCTCCTTTTCTTTCTGATACCATTCCTACCTAAAAACTAGTTTCATAAAATGAAAGTTCAAATATATGGTTCCCTTCTTCAGGGGGGACAAGGTCTATTATTTACTCGCACATGCCTGAAGATGGGCCTGTGTAAGTAAATTTTATCCATCCTAAGATTAAATTATATTCATATACACACACACACGTATAGATAATGTACATATAACCACATACATATATATGTATATATACATATATATGGTTAGCATGCATTCCTACCAATAGATGCTTACTTTTAACAAGTCAACATCCTAAGTGGGTAAAAATATAAAAACGCATAGGGACATGTCTGACGGACTTGTATACTCTACTTGCTGTGGGTTAAAAATATGTATTTTAAGCACAGTTAGAAATGAGGCTTTATTTGCTGAGAATGCTGAGCTTGTATTCAGCTCATGGGTATTCCAAAGACATAATGTGTGCTTTACAGTGCTGTACTAGCCTTCTTTAGGGAGGCAAAGTTGAAGGGTAAGGAACTTGTACTCAAGGACCTCTGAAGAATAGATTTTCAGAATCCATCGTCACCTTTTATCACTCATCTTCCCTCCCGCCTTGTCATTTCGAAAGGTATTTCCTAACCCAACTTCAGTAAAGAAGCAAAAGCTAATTCATTTTATCCTTTGGGGGGAGAAACCAAAGAAAATATATCAGGCCTCCATCTCATGACCATGAGGTAATTGCAGGGGGATAGATGTCCTTTCAGCTGAAATGAACTCCCAAACCTCTAAATCTGAGATTTGTTTGCTTTTATACAGTCTCAGTTCAAGTAGTCTAAGAATATTAAAGAACAAGCTCCTTTTTATTAGACCCATTAAAAAAGAGCAAGCACAAGGATAAAAACTATTTTGTAACTATGAGGTGATGAATATCGACTAAACTTTCTGTGGTGATCATTTTGCAATACATACATATGTTAAGTCATTATGGGGTACACCTTAAATTTAGTGTTGTTTGTCAATTGTATCTCAAAAAACTGGAATAAAAAACAAAGGAGCAGGGAAACCCTCATTTAAAGAGCTGCATTTGCAGGAAATTCATGAATTAGACCAGCCTCCCTCCCATTCCATCTGACCACCTCCCTACTCTAGCATTCCCAATTCTCAGGCATCTCTGATTTCCTAATTGTGGCTTTCTTGACACCTATGTTTTTCTTTGACCTTTTGTATTCACTAACACTTACAAAACAAAACTTTCTTTCTGGCTAAGATCATAGTCTCTCTGAAATCTATTTCTGAAATCTGCTTCTTAGAACTAATCCTATCGCTCTTTCTCTCCATTAAGCCAGTCCCAGGGCCCCTCAGGCCTAGGCTCAGGCAGGTAAGAACGGAAAGGCTGCATTTACCGTTTACTCCACCCTGGCAAACTTGCTGCTTCTCTACTCGTTTCTCACTGAAATGTCTGCACCACCTCTTTGATTTGCTAAGCTTTTATTTTATACTTGATTATCACTGTTCCAGACAAGAAGACTAAAAAGAAATGGAAGAAAAAAATTTTATTCTCTTTAAGCCTAAATTATAAATAGTAAGGCCATATTTGTGGCATTAATTCTACTACTGCTTATATTATTTTTATAGTTCATGCTTTTACAAAACAAGCCTAAGTTTAATAGGGGGTGGAGGTATCATTTCATAATTACTTTTCTTAGGAATTTTCACCATTCTATAAAAGTCCTTCAACAATGCAGCACTCAAATGAGCATTCTTACTCTCACACAGAAGCTACATCTCACTTGATTGGCTCAGCATGCCAAGATGCTGTTCTCACTAATGAGTTCTACTGTCTCACTAGGAAGACGATATATTCTTAACTACTGGATGCTGACACTATCTCCAGCTGTGCCAATAAAATCACAGAAATGGCATTCTTATTAATTTCTAATAAAAAAAAACCCTACAAGGTAAAAAATTTTACACTTGGATTACAAAGAAAGCATACACATACTGGAAGCCAGTCTAAAACTGGACTTACTACACTGTACTTTTGGATACTGAGAATTTTAGGGATTTTTTATTTGTATTGTTTTTAATATTCCCTTTGCAATCTCAGAATTAGAACCATTAAGGTTTTGTTACAATGACCTGGGAAAGACAAAGTTTGGGCTCAAATTTAAAAAAGAAAACTACTATTGAGAATATAAAAAGAGCATCTTCACCTCAAAAATCAGCAGAAGAGACAAAGTGATACTACTTTAGACCTCCCAAGTTCATAAAACCAAGTAAACTTAATATCACTTTTGGAAATCAGGCTCTAAATATAGTATATCCGAATAGAGTATTATAATGATTTCCTTAGAGAGACTTTTTTTTTTAAAAACATTTTATTCATTTATTTTTAGAGAGAGGGGAAGGGAGGGAGAAAAAGAAGGAGAGAAACATCAATGTGAGAGAGAATCGTCAATTGGCTGCCTCTCATACATGTCCCAACCTGGGACCAAATCCGCAACCCAGGCCTGGGCCCTGACCAGGAACCAAACCAGCAACCTTTCACTTTCTGGGACGATGCCCAACCAACTCAGCCACACCAGTCAGGGTCCTAGAGATCTTTCTAAGATGGCCATGCTAAAGGCAATGTGCCCCACCTAGTCACATCTACAAAGATGTGCCAGTAGGCTATCTAGAAAGGGAATGGAGAAATGACACTTGGGAAAATGAAAGCGCTCACCTATAATTCAGAAGGATGAGTTCAGTCTCAACCTAAAAGTACGACAGGTAATTTAGTGAGCATTACAGGAAAGTGGGTCTTACTTAGCAAATAAAAATGTAAATTATTTGAAAAGGTGAATTCTTCCCATGCAATTGTATTCAAGGAAGAAGAATGGAGACCACCACACCTTGAATGACTTTCCCTACCTGACCTGGAAGTTTACCTGGGCTGGGAAATAGTCCCATAACACAGAAGGTATCATCAGAAAATGCACTCTTCCAATGAAAGTGGCAAATACAGACTTTGCCTCATCCCAAATATAGTTACCTTTAGTTGTAAAAAAATGTCAACTCTACTGTACTTTTCAGTTAAAAAAAAATATAATACAATACTTACTCTTTTAGGGTTGGGTTAACTACCTTATCTGAATTCTACTTCTTGAAGAATTAAACTCAAAGAATAACTTAGAATTTCACATTCTAGAGGTAATAACTAAGTTAGTCTTTTAATTTAAATTTTTTTTCTCTTTGGCATTCAGTTATATGTTTTTGTAAAATCAGAGTAAAGATGAGACTTTCCACGGGACACTTACTGTAAATATGGAAGCAGTATAAAACAGGAGCGGAATAGGGGTCTCCTTTTTATTTCTCTCCTGAAAAATGAGTTGTGGAGGATGTAGTGGTTGTTCCACATCATAAATCGGACCTCTTTCAGACCCCGAGAGTTGGCTTCTTCAATCAGTCGAATAACAGTCTATGGAGTAGTAAACAAAAGGTAAAGAAAAAAGAAAAAGCAAGTCAATAAACAATCAGTATGAAATATAAAAATGTTAATGTTATTAAAGCCACAAATAGTTAACCTTGCTGTTAACATCAGAAGAGTTTCAATAAAGTATAGTGAGTCAATTAATTCCCTTTATGCATAGGAATTTTTTTCCCCTTTCTTTTTTTGGGTGGGGGGCAAAGATGCACAGTAGAAAGATGCTCCCTGCTTAGAAGAGCACTGATTTCCACCTTAAGAAACATGTGAGGCCCAGGGAACTACTCTTTTCTACTTTGACCTTAACAATGTCCTTGAGTTTTTTTATATTTCTGTTTTTTAGCTTTTTAATTGTTTTCTTACTCAAAAAAGCTTAATTTTTTACTTCGCTTTCTGACTCTGGAGCTGTGCCTTCAACACCTTCACAATTATTTTTTGTTCCTCAATAAAGAAAAAGCACACCTAGAATCTGTCATGGACACATTTAGCACACATGGATCCACCACAGGCCCTGCTGATTGTTTTTTCGTTTTAGACAACCTCATTAGAACTTCAGGTCTCTCAGCACAAATTCCCCGAAGCTGGCCTGGGCACACACCACATGCAGATTTTGGTGCTTTCCCAACCTTCCTGGTATAAAGGTAAACAAATACCAGGGGTTCAGAACAGCCTGGTTTTGTTAGAGGCTGCATTGTAGGGCTGTCTCCAAGGGTATGTCAAACACTGAACTATTAGTGCCGGAAGACACCATCCCAGGAAGAAGAAAAGCGATTTTTTATATTCCTAAAGAGAATTTTCAGGAGAGGATTAATGATGATAGTGTTCAAATAAATCAATTAAGTTCCAAACCTAAAAGAACCTCTCAAAGGAAAAACAAAGGGACACTCTAAGTATTCTGAGAATACATTTTAACCAGCCTCTTCTTTTCTTTGGAAGATATTATATACTAATGATTACTTAAAAGAGAGTCAAAAATTTTAATTCAATATTGTATTTTATAGCAATTAACATCCTGTGTCATTTTCCTTTGTTATTGCCATAAAAGAAACCCTAAGATAAGTAAGTCAGTTCTCTTCTTTTGTAATGATGGAAATTTGATCAGACTGAAGTCAGATCTTTGGAATATGAAATTAATCTCTAAAGTTCATTTCAGGGTGTTTAAACTTGACTTAGACACCTCATTTAGAGATAAATAAACCATCATATTTTAAAACTTGCTTTGTGATTGATAACCTATTTTTACCACCTTAGAATAAGGATGCAGGTACACATTTGATAGAATTTTAAATGATTAATATTCCTGACCACAGCCCAATAAACATTTTCAAGTACTTCTTCCAGGGGTCTAAGAGTGATTATTTCCCATTAGACTTCTGAAACGTTAACTGTAACACATGATCTAATCACCATGAGCACAGGAGCCAGATATAGCCAAAAGTTATACCAATGCTCATCTCATTAAAATTATTCCAAAAATAGTACTGATTCTAAGTACTTACAATGTAAATACTTTCTTTCCATAATATAAAATACTGGAGAAGCATTGTATCTCTCTGACAACAGTGGTGTTCTATTTATGGATTCCAGGAGTTTAATAGGAAAAAAAATACATTTTCAGAAAAATCAATAGAGAAATGTGTTATTTATATCAACAAAACTCAATTTTATACCCATAGGCTCTTTGATTTGTAGTTCTGGCTAACCATTGTTAGAAAGAAAGAACAAAAGAACTGTGAAAGACAAAAACATTTCATTGTATTTTTGCGGGGGAAAAAACTATAAATACCTCAGGATACTCTCTCCATCCAAAGTGGTCCCTACAGAAGAATTTCCAGACTGTGTGGTAAATAGCATTGACATTGCTAGAGGGTGGTGTGGACAGCCTTCGTAGTTGGTCAAATTCAGTTGTTTCATATATAGTCATGGCATTCAAATCTGCCCAAAATTCTTGTCCTCTAAAAAGATCAAGAAATAAATGATTTGTTAATATTAACACACTTAGAAAATAGATGCTTTTAAACATCTCATTAAGGACAGTAAAAATATCTAGTATAGCATGTTGTAGAATTTTTAAAGCTGGTCTTATTTGGAATAAAAGAACATTACTGATTGTTTCCCCATTTCCTACATGCCTTTCCTCAACAAGACCAAAATCTCCATGCCATGGAGTTATGGCAGAATTGATTCTATACCAAAGCATCACTGGCCTAAACAATCAACAAAATTCTACCCTCTCCACTACAGTGGGATGAGCCAATCCCCGATATCGCCAATCAGGGAGTCAGATTGAGGATGACGCTGACAAAGCAGATACAGAAACAAAAGAAACTCCTCTTGAAGCTTGTCTTTTTTCATAAGTATCAGTTTACCTAAGCCAATATAGGAATACAATACTGTCTGATGAAAAACAAGAAAGAAAAAGAAAAAAAAAAGGAAAAATAAAATCATTCCAGGAGGCCAATACTGCTAATCTACTCACTATCAATATTATCTTTTATTCTGTGGGTGAAAAAAAGGGCTGGCAAAACATGAAGAGAAAAATGGTTTGATTATGAGGTTTAGTTATGATCTATTTTTGTTATTTTTGTTAATCTGGCCTGTTGCTGTTGAACCAGCACTTTACAAAACATCTGAATACTGTTAGGTGAAAAATCCCACTATCAATCAGAATCATTTAAGAAATTAATTTTTAAAGGGTGGTCCAATTAAAACATTTGTGTTTGTTTTTTAATGGAACTTCATCTAGTATCTGAAACATCTGAATCATTATTTTAAGTAACTGACAAACTATTCATTGCTCCTCTTTCTTTTCCTGTATGTTTCAAAATTTCCTTTAGAAAACAGAAAGTTAAATATATCATAAAATAACATTGTAGATATACTTTCTACCCTTTACAGCACAGATTCCTAAGTAGATGTCTATAACACACAGGATATTCCAGATATAGTGGTGCTCAGGATGACTGGTTTATATGAAACCCAGATGTCTGGAGAGATATTTCCAATAATTATTTCCTTGCTGTAAATTAGGATTTTGAAAAAGATATTAATTTGACCTATGGGTTTTGTTGGTTAGTACATTTTCCAAACTCTGCCCTTTGAGAATTTGTTTCAAGGACTATTAATAGGTATTCTGTGCAAAAAAACATCCTGTGATCAAATGTTTGAAAAAACTTGATTACACAAAATTAAACAATTTACTTACTGTGGCCACTCCTCAGTTCCTTTAATATGCTAAGGTAGGCATTAAGTACCACAGACATTAAGGGCTATAAAGTACCCTTCCAAACCTATGACAATGTTCTCCCTTTCCCCCATGAATACCTCTTAACATCTCTCAATAAAAAAAACCCTGGCAAATGTCAGGGAAAGAAAAATCTGTTTTCTACCTACCACCCCAATGTTCATAACCTGTGAATCAGCTTCTATTTTTAAAAAAAAAACAACAAAAAAACCTCAAGTCATAAACCCAACTGATGGTGCCATGAAGCTCATAACTTGTAAGAAAACAGTATGGTCTTCCAAAACCCTAATTTCTTGCTCAGAAAGCGTACTAACTAGTAGATTGCGATTTAAAAAGAACATATAATTTTAATTGTAAAATGGGAATAAGACAATAGGGTAGTTTAAAATCACATTTGGACATTGCTTTATTAAAATGGTTATGGTCATTTAAATGATTATGGTTAAAATGATTATAAAAATATTCAGTCAAAAAGGAAAAAATTATTCTGGGAAATCTTTTTTAAAAAAGGGAAAAAAAAAAACACTGAAAACAAACTCCTATACCTAAACATCACAAGTTGCTATAAACAACTTTCACTTAACTTTAGGAAAATTTGATGTTATCACAGAGCCAAGAGATACTTAACTCTTTCTCCCTCTTAAAATCATTTTCAGTTTCTAAACAGATTTTCTTACTTTATGTTTATTTTCCAGTAACTGTCCCAATTATGAGTTAATAAATACTCGGTATTTTTAAAGGGGTTCTTAGAACACCAGGCATTATGTTAACATGCATTATAATATACATAGCCAATTCTTTTTGCTAGTAAAGTATCAGATTTTATTCTGGACATCACTCTAGCAATTTTTGTTTAAGCCTGTATTATTAAGACTTCATAGATAATGATTTGCATGAGAAAGACATCTAAAACTGCAGCTTTTGCTACATTCTCCTTTGGGCATTATGAAATTTCTATGACAAATCCTAATTTACTACAATCAAATGTTCTTTGGATTGATGTATCAAAGTACTGTTTTAGCTCTATTTGATTTTCAATATGCTTTTCTAGACTTGACAGAGACAAAACAACAAATCTGAAAAACATTAAATTATCTTTTTATAAGATTAATTTTACCACCTGCTCTCCCATAAACAAGCAATGCTTAAAAACTCCAAAGCCAAGAGTATTTTTACTCCTCAATCTGCCATCAGTATGAATGCATAAAATACAGATGCCAAATGTTCAACATCTACCGCTCTTCTTTATCAAACCATTGTTTTCTATTATCAGAAAGCACTTAAAAGTCCTGTGTGTGTGGTAATAGTAACATTTGGCCGTATTAGGCAATACACAAAGAATTAAAACAGATGTAGCCCCTGGCTTCCAAGAGCTTCAAGAGAGAAATGAAAAACCAAAGGTCAAACCAAAGCAGCAATACATCTGCCTATTTAAATTCATCAGTGGCAAGTACAATCCTGGAATGAGAGGACAAAGAATAGCCGTACAGCATTATGGGAGAAGAGGTGGTTACTTGCATCGAGAAATGGGTAAAGGTCAGAAAAAGAGGCTTTACTTTATCAATCCAAGATAACTTCCTGTAAAAGACAAAAATGCTAGGAACAATTTAGATGACAGGAAATATTACTAGTAAGTAAAGGGTTGTGTGGAAAACAACAATAAAAAAAGAATTCTTCAAGCACTTTGCTTCTTGGCAGGAGGGGAGGGACAAAGAGTGCAGAGTTAGAAAAGGAAACCTTCAAAACGGGTACAGAAGAGATGAGGAAATGTGAAACCAGAGCATAACAGGCAATGTGAAAGATATCAGGCAATTAGCTGATGAGGTATGCCCAGGGTCTCAAGCCTTAAATGCAGGTGAGATTTTTAGAGTACTGAGCAGATGGTGGTAAAGGATCAAAGAAGTAAATAAAGATGTGTAAAAATGAGCAATGCTAGTGCAAGAGATTGGGAATGGAAGTTAGTATGAGCAGGGTGCAATATCCTGGTAGATGAGAACCCTATGGCCAGAAAGGAGTGAGTATTTGAGACAGCCACTGCGCAAGTAGGGTTTAGATTTTGCTAAATATATCATGTGGCTAAATCAATCAGTATTGATGGACCCAAGATATAACCCAGTCATTCATGATGAATCAAGAGGGGGGTGGAGACTTTGTGAACATATTGCTAATTTTTGCTATAAAGGGAAGAATGAACTTGTGCTGAAATATTAACAATTCTGTTTCCACATACTTCACTAACAAACACACCACCACACATACCAATATAAGAATCCAGATATAAAACTAAAATTTTGAAAAGGACACCCATGCCCATAGTTTAGATTTTTTAATAACAACGGTTCTCCTCAACAAATATGTTGACATACCCAATTAAACCAACATTTTTCAACATACATTAGCAATACCAACACCCACACTAAAGTCATAAAGTATGCCTCACACACCATCATTTGTTTTATGTATATTTCAGATACTAAAAGTAAAAAAGGGACTTCAATAGTAAATGATAAACAGCTGTAATGAATATAAACCAAAACTATTAAAGAAACTGTTGCTGAATGAAATAGAAATTAGTAAGAACATGATCTGTTTATTAGCTACATAGTTCTTGGGATTATGCATTTGGGTGCTCAGTAAACAGTGTAACCATTTGGGGTAATTTCTCTATAAACTGTTTGAAACCAAGAAAGAAATGTGACAATTAAAGAAACAACAAAAAGGGGCAAGGAATTGTGGTCAAGGTAGGCATCCCAGAATGGAAGAAATGAGGGTTAAGTCTGGCCAGCCGGCAGGCAGGAAAAGTGACTGACATGTAGAAGCTAACCAAGCAAGGCAGGGGAGACCCCAAGAGCATGCAGCACATGTAATTCATGTGGGAAGTCAGGGTGTATATGTGTGTAAAGGGGATGATAAGAGATAAGACTGGACTGGATAGGTTGGCTGGGGCCAGATAATGAAGAGCTTTGTATTCTGGGTTAAGAGGTTAGGACTTGATTCTGTGGGCAGCCGGAATCACAGTGGATTTTCAACAAGGTTCAGACTTGCCTTCTAAAGGTCACTTCAGCAATAGTAGTATGGTGGACTGATTTATTTTTGGTAGGGGAGGGTGCAGTAAGGGTAGAGATAGGCACTTATTTGCTTTCATATTCATTATTCTATGCTTAGCCATCTATAAGTATTAACATTGTATATGAGCCAAGTGATGACAGAAAATGGAGGAGGCAAGGGATGCTCTGAGGGGTATTTAAAAGTTAGAACATAACTGCATTGAGGATGATTACATGTGGGGCTGCAGGGAACAAACAGAGCCCAGGATGTAGCCTATGTTTCTGGTCTGGGTGGCTGACAACAGTGTCATTAAATGAGACAGGAATTGCAGGAGGTGGAACATATTTAAGCGGGAAGATGACACAAATAAAATATAGAAATCAGACTTTAGCAGAGGTCAAGTAAGTGTAAAGTTTTCCGGATCCTACTCTGTACAGTTTTAACCAGATGGGTTAGACTTTGGCACTTTGGCTTCCTGCCTGTAAGTTAACTGGTTTCTACAAAGAAAAACTGTGACCTCAGTAACACCTGCCCTAATCAGCTGGACTAACGAAACACAATTAATAGGTCCTCTTATTTTATTACTATTATGTAAAATGAAAATGTCTCCCAAAACTGAGAATAATAACGACAGAAGGATAAAGATCAAACGGAGTATGAAGA